CCTGGTCTTCTCGTGGCCTGGATGTGGAGGTGGCAGCAGCCTGGCGGGTGCGGCAGGAAGGGCGGCGCACCTGGGGAGGCTCCGTGGTTAATCAGGCTGCTGGGCGCAGTGCCTGTTCTCTGGAATATTCATAAGGCCCCTCCAGCTGTGCCAGGCAATCAGGGTGCTGATTGCTCCCCCATCTGCAGCTTAACATTCCACTCTAGGGAGCTGGCAGCTGAATGTTAACTAGGGAACAACAGGCTCTGGCCTTCACAACAGCAGCCCGAACAAGGGCCCCAGGGAAGACAAACCCACTCCTTCGAGATCTGCCAGCCAGCCAGCACTGATCTGCTCACCAGCCTCACGGGCAGCGGAAAGAATCGTGGATTTGGAAATAAGGGAGCTGGCCTGGGGTCCAGCTCTGCAAAACCACGCACGCCTGGCTCTGCGGCCTCAACCTCCCCAAGTGTGCACCGGGCTGGAGCTCTCGACCTGCTGAGAGGGCCAACTAGGACAGAGTGTCGAGCCCGAGGGAGCGCGGCACGGAGGCAAAGCACCACTGTGGTGGTTGTTTACAGTTGCGGACATGGCTTCCTACTCTGGAGACAAGCTTTTAATTACAAACGTTGAGATCGCAAGCAAGCTGGCTTTGCGGGAAACTGAGCAAAGAGAGAAAAGCTCCCTGCGAGGTTCTGAGCCTCCCCTGGAAGGCGTGGTCTCAGGGTAGAGATCTGGGGTCCTGGTCCTGCTCTGGCCCAAACCTCCAGGAGAAGCAAGAAAAGAACGAGAAGGGACACCAGACGGTAGAGGGAGAAAAAATTTAGAGAAGTTCCACCAAAGCGGAGGTTGCTCAGGACAGTAATCCGGAGCCATTCCGTGTAGGGACAACAGTGTGCTGGCATCCGTGCACAGCTCATAACCAACGCTGACAGCAATGATTTAGAGTCACCAAGAAATGGCCAAAACCTACTCTGGGTTTGTGTTGAATAATACACAGGCAACAGTTTTTAGGGAGATTTCTATCAAACTGGGGGCTGGGGGGAGGAGACTGGAGCTAAAATAATTTAATCTTCTCCTTCCTAGAAAACTGACCAACGTGGAGCAGCTCATCTCCACCGCCAGATAACTGAGGGGCTCTGAATCGGGCATGACTGTGACCGTCTGATAGCCCTGCCTCCCTCTGCCCCACCCAGCACCGGCCCCGCCTCCCATGCCAGCAGGCTCAGCCCGACCGCAGAGGACGGCCCAGGCAGCAGGGAAAGGCTGGTGCTTGCCTTGCTATCCAAGCAGCCCCTCTTGGGGGGCAGGTCCCTATTCCACATAGTCCCCAGACACTAGGCTCTGCCTCAAAGTAAATGAACCTCTCAGACCAAGGAGTTGGCACACTCTCCCACCCGGTCAGGACCCGGCCCCCCATGCCCTCACTGTGGGTACTTGAGTTTCGTTTGAACTTTCTACAGGGAGCTCACACGCACGTGTTACTCTGGGAGGAAACGCTGGCAATGTAGGTAACAGAGGGCTCGTGTTCGCGGTAGATAAAGACATCCGCCTGACCAGGAGGGCAGCAGGTGAGTCGCGTGGGTGCCCGGGCGAGCACACCGCATAGAGCCCCTCTCCGGGTGGCAGGGCCTCCGAACCTCAGGGGCTCCCTCGGCACATCGACAAATTGCTTTTATTGTTTTTTCCTAAAGTACCAAATATTGACAGTTCATTGCAAAAAATTTAGAAAACACGGGTAAGGAAAAAGAAGGTGATTAAAGACCACTGGTGATCCCAGTAGCCAAAGAGAACCACTTGTGACACTGGCTGTGTATTTTTTCAGTCTCTTTGAGACAGGCAGATGGACAGATATTTTTACACGGGATTGATCATATTTGCATGTGATTAATCACAGCGTATATTTTCACTTAACAGCGTATCATTGTTTTCTCTCATTAAATATTCCTCTGCATCAGTGGCTCTCAAAGTATGGTCTGGGAACCCCTGGAGACCCCCAAGACCTTTCTAGGGAGTCCATCGGGTAGAAACTATTTTCATAATAATACTGAGACAGTACTTGCCATTTCATTCTCCTTGTCTCACGAGCGTACAGTGGAGCTTGCCAGAGGCTGCGTGATGTGTGATACGCGAATCCAACCGTCCTCTGTTAAGCCAGACTGATGTTAAAGAGATTTGCAAAAGTGTAAAATAATGCCATTCTTCTCAGTAATTTTTTATTTTCTAAAATGTAGTTATTTTTCATAAAAATATGTTTTTTAGGAGAACACAAAATAGTTTTATTATTGAGTTAATAAATATATACTTTTAAAATTCCTTCATTTTTATTTTGAATATGCTAAATATTTATAGCTATAACCCATAGAAACAAAGGTTTTTGGGGATCCTCAATGATTTTTAGGAGTGTACAGTGATCCTAAGACTGAACGTTTGAGAACAGCTGCTCTACGTCATCACTTTTAATGACTGTATAGTGTCTCCTAATTTGTTTCCCATTTCCTCACTGACGGACCTACGGGTTGTTTCCAACTTTGCACTATTATAGAAATGCTGTACACATCAATGTGTACTCGTGTAACGCGAACACTTCCTGAAGTGAGAGAAAACAACAGAAATCAACTGGTCTTGTGAGTCATCACTATTAGTCCATGATTAGTCAGGTTAAACAAAAGATATTACAGAATGTGAACAAATACAGTTGAAGAATGTGTATATCAAATGTAAGTGTATGTATATCACACATTTCTACAGAGAGACTTATACTCTGCAAAGAGCACTTTTTTTCTGTCGTCAATGAAATGTTTACAGAATCGGATCATATTCTAGACCAATGTTACCGACAGTATAAAACTCTCCGTTACGATTATAGAAATTGAGAGGAAGAGTTTAGAAACTTTTAAGCAATTTAACAGACAAATTTTATTTCTGTTGAATATAATAAAAATTGAGGTTTGTACAAAAAGTCAAGTGCTAAAAAATGCTGCAAACATTTTTTTTTTATACACTGGAGAATATTTCTGTAGGATGGATTCCTAAAGTGGAACGGCTGGGCCTGCAGACACGCGTCGTTAGATGGTACGAGACATTACCAAGAAGCCTCACTTAATCTCACCAGCAGTGCATCTGAGCACGTGCCCTCTTGCACCTCCCGAAATACTGAAGATTAAGATTACTCTTTTAAATCTTATCCAACAGGAGGTTAAAAGATACCTTTTGTCTTCCATGAATTGCTTATTTAAATCTTTTGTCCGTTTTTCTTTTGGCTTCTTTTTCTTATTGATTTTTCTGGAACTCTTTATATATTCTGGACACGAATCTTTTGTCTTTTATATGTTGCAAATATTGTACTCAAGTATGTGGCTTGCCTTTTCATTTTGTTTAGGTGTCTCGTTGTCATACAGAAACTTTATCTTTTAAAAAAATGTATTCTAATGTATTAATCATTTCCTTTATGCTTTTAAGGATTCTTATCTTACTTGGGAAGCCTTTCCTCATTGCATGATTTTAAAAACGCACTCCATTTTCCTCTAAGACACCTGTAGCTTTTCTTTTCTTTTTCTTTTTTTCATGCTTAGAACTTTAATCCATCTAGAATTAATTTCTGCTATGGTGTGAGGCATCGAGTGTTGAACCTTGCAAGCCATAAAGTGGAGTAGGGCAGGGTGCTGGCAACAGGCTTGAGTCTCAACAAGAACCAGCCCACGCGTTCCCGGGGACCTGCAGGCCTGCTGCAGACTGGACCGGTGGAGCGCAGCAACAGAGACCTGAGGCCATCTGGCTCGGGAGCGGAGCAAGCTACACTTGAGGATCCTCCCGAACGTGTTAGAACGTCTATGGGCCTTTGCCAGGTTGAGCAGCAGAGCTGACAACTTGCCCAAGAAAGTAATCAAACATCTTTAACATGTCGTGTGGTTCCCAAGGAGTTCATGTCTGTCATCCCACTTAATGCCAACAAGGGAGATGTAGGCAGAGGAGGATGTATGATCCTGGTTTTGCCATCACAGGAAAACAACGGGCAGAGAGGTGAAGCCACATGCCCGAGGTACAGGCTGCCAGAGGGCAGAGGGCAGAGTCCAGACCTCCTGCCACCAAGCGCGTGCTCCTTGGACCTGTCTGCACGTCCAGCTCTGTCCTTAGTGCCGCCTTTGGTGGAAAGAAGGGTCTGGCCTAAGCCTTTTCCAAATATGTGCTCCCCCACTTCGGGGAGGAGAGACTGGAAAAATCCATCCTCCACTGCCAGCTGACAGTGAATTTTGAGAACCAAGGCTTCCTTCCACATGCGCCTCCTCCTCCCCCTGAGTGGTTTGGCAGAGGGTGGGAGTGGGGATGAGTCAGGCCGGGAAGGGGGAACTCAGCCATAAACAAGTGGGACTGACAGCGAGCACTTTCTCTGAGGCGCGTGACCTCCCACGGGCCTCCAGGGACTCTGCCTGAATGGCTACAGCTCAAAAATTTCATGATCTAGGCTTTGCAGATTTAATCTGCTATATTCACATAAGCAGCCACAGAAAGGGGGAAATCTTTAGATAGGAGGTGGGGGATGAGGAAGAAGGTAAGTTATTTCTAGTCTCTCGGTGGAGAGCAGTTTTTTTTAACAAGTGTACCATTTTTGCAGATGCTCAATGTACCTATGGCTGGGTCTTCCTCCCTTCCTCCTCCAAACCAAAAGGACGTCCAGGAGGCAGAACTGTAGGGCTAGACCTGGTCTTGGAGATCAGGATGCTCCAATCCCTCAGGTAAAAGAACCATGTGCACCAAGAGAAGTGGGCTGTCCAAGTGCATACTTTTGGGCACGCTCTGGAAAGAGATCTCAGGTCTCCTGCATCCCAGGCCTGCACGTGTTCTGTTGACTCTCGGGAAAAGCCCAGGGAAATATAGCCACTAGATGTTTCATGGGGAAGGAAAAAGTGGCCAGGGAGAAGCCAGAGAGAAATAGGGAAACAGGCCCAGCAGTGACCTAGGAGGTCTCCTCTCTGCCCTGGAGCTGCAGCTGGGGGCGTGGGAGGTACAGGGCCACCTACCTGCTCCAGGGGGATGACGAGGAAGGAGCCACCTCCCGCGCTCTCGGTGACAATGGCCAGGAAGCGGGCGTTGACAGCGCAGAAGTGGTTGTCGTGCACATTCTTGGTGATGGGGATCCCGTCAAAGCAGTGCTCCCGGTTGGCCACCTTCCCGTAGACGTTCCGGAACTTGGAGCTTCGGTATTGCGGACGCCAGGACATCTGTGAGAGGCCAGGACAGACGAGGGTCAGGCTGGGCATTGCTTCAGGAAGGGCCGGGGCTGGGCGCTGCGGGAGGGAAGCTGTGCCTTGGGGATGCAGAGGGTGAGCGGGTCCTGGGCCAGCCCGCGGGAAGCGGGGGAGGGGAAGGAGCCTCCAAGAAGTCAGGGCCCACTGTGTGCCCAGGCCCAGATAGAGCAAAGACTGGCGTGGGGCTTCCACACGCACAAACCCCGCCTTCCAGAAAGCTTACAGGGCTCTTTCCCTGTCGGGGAACGTGCCAGTGACAGAGCAAACCCACAACAAGAGCGGACCGCCTCCTGAGGGTCTGCAGTTATGCGCAACTCAGCGAGGCAGGTGCAGACAGAAGAGGCCGGGTGTTCACAAAGAGTGAGAACGACACCAACACGGACGGCAGGAATGGGCGCATGTCCCTCTGTGTACAAGGCAAACCGTCACCCGCTACCATCCCCTCCTCTGATTCTCAGAGTTTCTAATCCACAGGCCCACCCTCAGAAATCCCTTAGCCCTATATATCATCACCATACCATCTCCATCATCAACATCAATAGGCACAGAGAGGTTAAGTGACTTGTCTAAGGCCACACAGCTGAGTAGGGCCATGAACGCAGGTCTTCTGACTGGGAATCTGAGACTCTTTTCTACGCCAGACTACCCTTTGGAGCAAAGTTTATCAGCATGTGGCCCACGGATCACCCGTACCAAAGTCACCTGGGGTGGGGGAGGTCTCTGAGCCTCCTATGTCATTTATTAGAAATGCTGATCCCAGTCCAAACCTACTGAATCCAGTATTTTGGGGATGGGGCCCAGAAATCAGCATTTTGATCCAGTTTCCTTGCCTTCCCCTGGGTAAGACAGAGCAGCACACCGAAATCGGAGAGCCCCTGCTCTCACCCCTCCCTTCCTATTAGTGACAACGCAGGCTCCAGCCAACCAACGAGATGTTTCCCTGGCACCTACGGCACGCCAGCCCAAAGCCAGGCACAGCGGAACGCAGATGCGCACGGCGGGTGCGTGAGGGCAGACGGGCAGCCCTCAGTGGAGTCCGGCTCTGTGTAGGATGGTGTCTGCTGCAGGGAAGCCCTACAAACGGGCACCATGGCAGTGACCCCGGGGGCCTGCCCTCCTGGCAGACGCACATCCAAGCACCACGGGCCACAGGCAAGTGCCCAGCCTGGGACATGGCATACAGCAGGGGCTCAATAAATGCTTTTTTAAATGAATATGCTCCTGGCCCAGCAGGCTTTGCCTTATCCATCCCCTTCCCTTCCTGCCAAATCAACCGAAGTGGCCGGGCGCGGTGGCTCACGCCTGTAATCCTAGCACTCTGGGAGGCCGAGGTGAGCTCAGGAGTTCGAGACCAGCCTGAGCAACAGTGAGACCCTGTCTCTACTAAAAATGGAAAGAAATTGGCCAAAAAACTAAAAAAAAAAATAGAAAAAATTAGCTGGGCATGGTGGCACGTGCCTGTAGTCCCAGCTACTCGGGAGGCTGAGGCAGAAGGATCGCTTGAGCCCAGGAGTTTGAGGTTGCTGTGAGCTAGGCTGACGCCACGGTGCTCTAGCCCAGGCAAGAGAGTGAGACTCTGTCTCAAAAAAAAAAAAAAAAAAAAATCGACTGATGTGGCCCGAGTCTCCCACCCCATCTCAGGACGGAAAGGGACAAGCTAATTTCTTTACTGAAATCTACCAGGGGAGGAAAAACAAAAGGAAACACCGCCACGGGGTCAGGAAACCAACTCTGGGAATTTGTCTGAAAACAAAACTTTGCATTTGATTTAAATCAAGCCAGGAGCTAAGCCACAAAAGCCTCTTTATTGAAGGAAGAAGTTCAGAATCCAATAAGGAGAATCCCAAGGAAAACTCCTCCAGCTCTCTGGGCCCAAACGGCCCTCCTCTCCTCTGCCACGCCTCCGCTCCCCAAGGCTGCCCTCCACCCCAGCGGGCTGGACTCCCTCCGCACCCTCATCCCTACCTCCCTGCCTGCCTTCCGCTCCTGCTGACTTCTGCCCAGACTGTCCGGATACGGTCAAGCTGGACAGGCAGGAGCACGGGCCCGCAGCCTGGTGGGCCACTGCTGACGGGGTGACCTCAGCAGAGCCCCTTCTCTCTCCAGGCGTCCTCCTGCTCATCGGGATGACATCAGCCATTCCCAAAGTGGGGACCCAGGTAGTCACTCAAAATTCCTCTACATGGTACAGAGGTGAAGCTTTTAACTTTAATAGTCACATGTTTATTTTAATTCGCATTAGAAAAATATCATTTGCATACCAAATCCATATTTCACTGATACTATTGCTAATGAGGCTAAGTTTAAAAAAGTGAATCAATTCAAAGAAAAATATAGTATGAAACAACATAGTATGGGTGGTTTGTGGACCCGGCAAAGTTTAATCTGAGGTGGGAATGCTGGGAATTGCCGTCCCTTCCAGGCAGAACATTCTAGATTCCACAGTTTCCACAGAAGAGAAAGGAGGTGTTGAGCTTGCCCCTTCCAGCCTCCTGGTCCTTGCTGGTGCAGGGCTAGCCTGGGATGTCTTCTCTCTTCTCTGCTCAGCCAAATCTCAGCCGTCAGGGTCTGACTCACCTCTGACCTCTCCCTCAGCCCCTAGCCCTTGCCCTGGGCTCTCCTTTGTGGGGGCTGGTCTCCACTCTGTGATGGCAGGACATGACGCCAGAGCCTCCCAAGCAGGACTGAAGACTCATTTGTGCCTTTCCTGGGCAGCCCAGATGGGTCCTGGAGGCCGTGGGGAGACCGGCTGGGCACCTGGCCCGGCCCCTCCTTGAAGGAGCCCAGCCTGGTGGGGGGACAGATGGGTACAGCTCAGCCTCCCCTAGAACCCAAGGCTCAGGGAGCCACTTCACAGCCCACATCTGGTGGGCAGGGATCACAGGCTGTCTCTGTGGCCCCCTGCGTGGCCCATAGCTGGGCACCAGGGCATGGTCTGCATAAGGCCTGTTTCTAGACTGTGCCCTTCCCAGTGTCACTTCACTGAGGAGTCCCCCGGGGAGATCTGAGGACAAGGACACCAGGAACCAGACTGGGAGCCACACAGCAGACCTAGATTCAAGTCCCACCCCTGCTGTAGCTTAGCTGTGCGACTTGGGCAAGCCACCTAACCTCTCTGTGCCACCTCCAGCTGCTCCTATATGCAGGAGGCTGATAATGCCCACCACCTCCAAGGGCTCGGGAGGAGTCAATGCCAAGCTGCCCGTGACACACCCGGCACAGGGCACACTGACCTGACAGGCAGCACCCACACTTCCCTGGGTCCCCTGGGGGGAGCCCTCAGCCACCCGCCACCCTGTGTCTGTTTTCCCATCTGACTTCACCTCCTCCCCGTCTACCCTGCCCCTTCCTCTCCCTTCCCTGCTCCTGTCGCTCCCACTCTCTGCCTCTGCCCTCCCCAGTCTGCAGGGCGCAGACAGGGGAGAGGGGCATTCCTGGCCAAAGCTCCTGGTGGGCGCGTGCATTCTTCTGCAATGACCCCCTTCCCATCTCCTCATTGCCCCCCACAGCCCAGCTAGCGCTTCTGAACCGGATGCTGTGTCCTGGGGGACCTCAGCCCTCAGGCTCCGGGTCAGCAGGCGTGTTCTCCCAGTGAGCGTGTCCCCCAGGGCAGGCCCGGGCAGGCCCTACCATGAGGCAGAAGAGTGGGGAGCCTCTCCAAGGGCTTGCTCTCAGCAAGCCTGGGCGGGCTGTCCCCACGGCTGGGGCTGGGTCTCCATGGAGATTCCCCCTGCTGGGCCTTGGGAACAGCCAGGGGAGGGAGGTCAGGGGCTTTGCTAATCAATGGCTCCGTGTCACGGCGCCTGCAGCTCCACACTAGTGTGTGCAGGGCAGGCAGCGGGGAGCCAGGGTCTGCGCTCTGGGGTGCACTCAGACTCCTGCCAACCTCGGCAAACACACCTCGCCTCCCTGAGCACCTGCTGCACCCCTCTCTCCCCCAGCCCCTCTCTTTCTTCTCTTGCGGATTTACTGGAAAGGAACTTGCTGAGATCATGACTCCTGATTTTTTATTACTTCAGCACACGTTTGCTACAAAGGAGGGCAACCTCCTACCTTGGCACGTCACCATTATCACACCTAAGAACACTGACAGTCCCTCAACGCCATCTAAGTCCAGTCCACATTTAAATTTCCCCAAAATGTCTTTAACAGCTGTTTTATTTTTTTGAACGAGGATTCAACGAAAGGTTCATGTGGTACATTTGGTTGTGATCTCCCTTTTGCCTCCTTTAATCCAGAACATTCCCACCACCTATTTTTTATTTTAATGACATTGACTTCATCATGAATTGCTTGGCTTTGGCAGGGAATAAGAAAGGGGAGGAGAGGGCAGAGGGGACGTGTGAGCATGCTCCTGGTCTGGCTGGTGGCAGTGAGGGGGCTGGTTGGCCAGTGCCAAGGGTTTATTCTGCAGGGTGGTGGGCAGAGGCTGGAGGCCTGGGAGGCCCGGTCAGGCACCAGCACACACTGTGGGCCAGAGCCGGGTGTCTGCAGGCCCGGGAGGTCTGACCTTTCTACCCCACATTACTAAGGGGCTGACCTCATGCTGAGGTCAGATGCATGAGCGTGCAGACAGGGAGAAGAAAAGACTCCTCCCTACTCAGCCAGACGGAGGAGGCCATGCCAAGGCTGCAACCGGAGGAGCTGCCCAGACCTCAAAAAGAAATCAGTGGGGGGAGCCGCAAGGTGACCTGAAAATCTGGCCCCATGTCATTTACCCCCCAAACCCAACCCAGACTCTGGTAGATTCCCCCCCAGCTGTTTCTAGGGAGGGCAGGACACACTGTCTATCTGAATCTTTCAGGACCAATGAGCATAAGATTGGGACACATTTGAGCTCCCTAAAAGGAAGGACTCTCTTAATGGTTAGAGCTTCCTGACACGGAAAAGGAGGCTACCTTGAAAGGTAGTGAGCTTCCCATCCCTGGAAGTGTTCAAGACTTGGGTGGATGACCTCTGCTCAAGGGCAGTGTGCG